ACCCTTGAATATTAGCCAGCTATCTTGTGCCCCTCTTCCTTCAAGGCCTTTGTCCCATGGTATTCTACCAAGCAGATCCCTGAAGAGGCCAAAGGCTGCTCTCCTGAAGTCCAACGTAGTGAGCTTGCTGCGCGCCCTCCTCGCTGCCCTGAGGATCCTGAATTCCACCATTTCGTGGTCACTGCAGCCAAGGCTGCCCTTGAGCTTGATGTCGCCTGCCAGGCGCTCCTTATTGGTGAGAATAAGGTCCAGCATGGCACCTCTTCTCATGGGCTCCTCTGTCACTTGAAGGAGAAAGTTGTCATAGACACATCCCAGGAACTTCCTGGATTGCTTGCACTCAGCTGGGTTGTCCCTCCAGCAGATGTCAGGGTGGTTAAAGTCCCCCATAAGTACCAGGGCTTGTGAGCATGAGGCTGCTCCTATCTGCCTATAGAGGGCTTCATCTGCTCGGTCCCCCTGGTCAGGTGGCCTGTAGCAGACCCCCGTTATGATGTCCTGGTATAAGTATTGAGCAGGAGTGGTCAGGCAATTTTTAATCATATTTTTTAAACTAGTCTTTCTTTCCATAACTCATGCATTCAGCATTCCAGAGAAGAAACTGCCTTTTCTGAACTATTTTTTTTCCTTCTTGATTCCTGTTACTTGATCTTCCTTTATTTTTCCTGTAGAATTACTACTAGTGGGGAAAAAGAACTTTCTGAGGAGATGGTGCATACTGATCTATTTACAGTGGAGGTTTTGGTGACCAGAAATAGTTACCTAAGTTGTCTCTGGGCAGTCTGGTGGGTGTGGGTGGGCAACCCAATCATGAGATTCTGGCTTGATGAATGCGTGAATTGTGAGATTGGTGATTTTACAGGTCAGACAAACTTGCCCTGTTATCCTGCTCAGAATAAACATCCAGTACCCAGCACTGCTAAAGTTAGTGCAGTTATTTATAGCAATTAATTCAGCATGTTATTTCTCAAAGGAAGGCCTGAATCAGTAAATACATCAGGAAGCATGAATAAGCAGACAGTTTCTTTAAGTTGTGGTTGCTTCTGTGATACAGTATTAAAGCAGTGACTTGCATAGATTGATAAAACTGTGCTGTGGTCTCAGTTTTCTTTTATAAAAGCTTGGCTTGGCTACAGTCTTAGCTGTGTGCATTTTTCTTTCCGTTGCTAATGTTGTTTTACAGATTCTTAAGAATAATTGGCTTCGTAATCATGGCCAGTAGTCACTGCTTAGTAAGAAACCAGAGGAAACCTATCTGCATGAAAGTTTTGCACAATATTGTCCTTACATAAGATGGTTTTAAATTTTGGAGGTAACGAAGCCTTAGTGTTTTAAGCAACTTTAACACTCTGTTTCCTGATTGCCCTTAAATTTAGAATGTTACTTGCTTTTGGACTGAAATCTCCCAGGACTAGCTTCTCGCTGTAGGTGAATATTTTAGCAATTTTGAAGTCAGATGTTGAGGCAGAGATTTGATTTGATGAAGAATACATCCGTAGTGTTTTTCCTGTTTGTTTGCTTTTAAACAAATGCACTTGGGGAATTTAGTTTGGAACAGCCTGAGTTAAAAGAAATAGTAATAAATTTTGATTTACTGAAGTTTTGGGGTTGCTTGCTTTTTTTTTTTTTCCAGTGTTACTGCTACAGTATAAATCCTATCTGCACTGGCATTCCACGTCTGCAAGGAGAAATATGCATACGTGTTTTATTTCAGTTTTATGCATATTCAGGCTGAAATGATTGGCTTGCATTAGTAGAGCACTTCTGTCCTTAAGGTTTGCATTAGTGCAGCTGTACCCATGTTGCAACTATATATGTCTGTATGAACAAAGGATGCCTCAGCTGCAAATATGTAGAAGATACACGCTATGAATGTGCACTTTATACACTCTGCTCAGTTAACTTCATGATGTAATTACAGTTAAGATATGTAATTCTGGGGCAAGCACCCATATCCATTTTTCAGCAAGTTCCTTTAAACATTGGAGATTTGATCTGAGGTTTTGTGTAGTTTATCTTTTTCTTTTTTTTTTTTTTTTAACAAAGACACCAATGGAGTTGTTTGGTTTCCTTTTGTTTAAGGTGTAGCACTCCTTCACGATTGAACAGGGAAATTATGAGTGCAGTTAGCCTTTACGTGCTCTTATTATTGCCACCTACAGCTATTTATTACTGACATGCAATTGTTGCTCTGTTATGTAAAATGCACGGGTTTTTTTCTTTTTTGTAATTTACACGTACCTAAAAATTCTGTTATTTTGACAGTAAGTCCTCAGGCAGCCTGACCTTCAGTTCACGTACAACTGAGGGGTAGGCAAGGGTACTCTTCAGGGAAGTAGAAGCAAACTGTAGGGGATCGTAGAAGGCATAAGATACTGCTTTGGTGACTGGAGAGAGTTCCAGCTTGAACTCTTTCCTTAGTGCACAAAGGTTGAAGGGATCTGTATATGTTGTGCAGAGAACGTGCTGACTGCCGCTTCTTCAAGCAGAGATTGATAAAGCACTGACGATGCATGTACTTGGTGAGCCTATAGCTGAAGAAAGCCTAAGCTTTAATGCAGCTTTAATTTTGATATTTTTTTTGGCTAAGGGATTTCAGCTTGCTTAATCAGTTCTTTGTGTAAATGTATTGTATTCAGTATAAAATCCCACCTTGATTTAGAGAATAGGAATCAGAGTTGCATTTCATGCTACAGAGAGATATCAAATGGATTGAACTTTTATTTCACTGGACTTTTGGTAAAATTTCATCAATTCTGTTTTGCAGATGGTCTGTTCCAACAAAAGCAGCATGGAAACTTGCATATTGAAGTAAACACTCTACATTCAGGGAAATATCTTCTTCAGATGGTTTCCTCCCCCTTCTCTCATCTCACAGTCTTTGTCTGAGATTCTGTGGGAAAAATGAGCTCTACCACTTTACCTTGTGGTGTAATTGTTGTGTTAAGCAGACCATTTATTCTTTGTCTGTTAAGAATTATTCCAAGGTAAACACTATAATCTTTAGCTCAGCTGTAGTTTGGCTTATGCAGACTTTTTTTTTTTTTTTACCCTTTAGTCCTGAAAATCTTTTGACGTCAATTCTACAAGTATCTGATGTGTTACGAGGACTGTGCAGTGTTTGCAGTGTATGTTTACAGAAAACTTCTGCAGACTGTTGGTTGGGTACTTTGCTGGTATTTTCTTGTCTGCACATTACTCATTAGACGGTAGCTTTACTTAACTACAGTGAAAGCATGAATAACATTTGAATTTCTTTAACCTTTCATATGACAAAGTTATCCTGTGATGTATTTATGTCAAGAGATTTTTCAACACTGGAACTTTCCATTAACAGCAGGATCTTAATTTGATTTGTTTAAACATCATAATCTTAGGCTGGAACATTAGCTTCATCCCAGAGAAAATAATTTCTATACATATAGTACAGCTGCACTGAAAGGGTTATATAAAACAAGCTGAAACTTTGAGTAATTGCTCTACAGTATTATATTTGCATATTTCCCCATTGCAAATAGTTTAAAAAAATAACAACAATGGAATTTTCAAACAACCTCCATTCATCTGTTCCCCACACAAAAACTTTGTGGCCACCACAGGAAAAAATACAACTTCTATGCTCAAGCCAGAAGTAAATAGGCTTGGCTAGACAACAACAAAATCTCCAAACCATTTAAGCCATAAAAGTGGAAAAAACCAGAACGTTATGTTTTATTGTAGGTTCGGGAACTGCAAACACGTTTGCAAAGTGTGCAGGCAACAGGCCCATCCAGCCCAAGTCGTCTCACTTCTGCCAATCGACCCATTAACCCCAGCACAGGAGAGCTGAGCACAAGCAGCAGTAGCAATGACATTCCCATAGCCAAGGTGAGCTATTGTCTGTTGCAGTAAAGCTTCTCATTATCTGGGAGAAGCAGGGTTCATTTCTGCACAGGTGCTGTGCAAGCGTATGATTAACTGGGAGATATCTAGAATCCCCAGAGAGTTTTCTTGGGGTCCTAAGCAGGTCCATGAACTTGAGGTGAAGAAAGGATTTAAGTGCTAATGATTGTAATTCTCTCAGTTACAACACAGGTGTCAGTTTTATGGTAGTTTACTGCACATTTGCAAGTGTAGCTAGTGAACAAATGCATATTGTGTAATCTTTATGGAGTATGGGTTCCTGCGTAACCTGTGAAGCATACTGACTTACAGATTGCTGAAAGAGTGAAGTTGTCAAAGACAAGATCAGAGTCTTCATCATCTGATAGACCTGTCTTAGGATCAGAAATCAGCAGCATAGGGGTAAGGACTAACATTTATGTGCATGCATGATACCTTCTGAAGATGACCTGTGTGCCATTAAAAGCAGCATTATTTTCTAAATAATAATAGAATTAATATATAAGCTAACTGAAAATACTTAAAAGTTGTTTTGAGAAAAGTATTTCAACAGAGAATATATGACCCAGAATTAAGATCTCGTTTTTTTCATAACTGGTGGCTAGAAATCATTCTTTGAGTGACTTCAAGAGGATAATTTTGGAGTCAAGTCCTCCAAAATATTATTCTTCAAGAAGACTGTTCAGTTGCATTTGACAACTTCCAATCAACAGAGAAATGGGTTCTGCTTTGTAATGTCAGTGTAAATCCATAACACTGTTTTTATGGTGTGTTAATACTTGTTTCACTAAAGAACTGACCTTTTGCAAGTAAATAACTTGCATATTAGGCTTTTTAAATACACGTTGAAATACTGGGCTTCACCCTGTGGTTAGTAGAATTTTAAATCAAAATAGCTTCTTAAAGTGGAAATTTATAAATGTTCTATTCAATGTAAAATTCACAGTAAAAACTGAATAATGAATGCCTTGAAAGGAATGCATGCAAGCAAATGCAGCTCTCAATGCCAACTGCCTGTGGAAGGAATCCAGTGGTTTTGTATTCACAATGATCTATTAACTGCACTGTGCAGGTGTCTAGTACTGTGGCTGAACATTTGGCACATTCCCTCCAAGACTGCTCAAACATCCAGGAAATCTTCCAGACTCTTTATTCACATGGATCTGCTATCTCTGAAAACAAAATCCGAGAGTTTGAAGTGGAGACAGAAAGATTAAATAGGTAAGGTGAAAAGTTAGATATGCTGAAATGTGTTGTGTGCTTTTAGCTTTGTAAAAGTTACTACTTTTTTATCCTTTTTAAATTTTTATTAGTTCATTCCCAGCTCAACTGTGGCAGCTGCAGATAAACATGGAATGTAGTTGATGAAAAGAAGATTGAATCATATGTTAATTAGTATGACAGTTTGGTCGTGTGTTATTAGGTCAACATGGCACCTTCACCAGTGACAATTTGCACTGCAGAGCATCCTTCTCTATGACTGACCAAGTAGACATGGCATCTTTTTTCATGACACATCACTGCTAGAAACAAGGATTCCCATAACTTATTCTTCACCATTCTGGAACTAGCTTGCTTTGTTTTGTCCTGAAGAAACAGAATTTAGCATTAATTGTATCAATTATGCTTTGACAACATGTATCCTTATAGGAGGTGTTAAAGAAGATACAGGAGATGAAGCATCTGAGAGTTTTCACAGCTAGGAAAGTCAGGGCTTTATTCTGATCACTGAATAAATAGTATAGTAGCCCTTCTCCTTCTTCTTGTGTTTCTTAAGAAGTCAGAGATTTTACAATTCTGGATGGCACGAATTTCTTCATCAGCTACCTGTCCAAGTTTTGAAATAATTTGCCTGTCGTCAGTATATGTCCAGCTCTTAGGATTAGGCATAGTACATTGATGTGTAGTGCAGTTACCAGCAGTGAGAATAAATGGTAATACTGATATTCTGAATCCTCATTTTCAGATTCAGAAATAACCTCATTGAGAAGAAAATTACAATTAAGCTCTGATACGAGCTTCTGTTTGACTATTGCCAGAACTCTTGGAGATTTCATTGCCTCATTGAAATTTCGTTTGCATTTTGGAAGTTACCTCTCTAATCATAACCAAAATCCTGCTTCAAGTGAAATGGTTGTTCTGGATGTTCCAAAGAAAGGGGGCATTTATGCAGCTGCATGATCTCTACACACACCCACACATTGCACTAATGAATATGCCACTTAAAACAAGAAGCAAATGTGGCGGCAGGAAGTAAGGAATGGAGGCAGAAAAACTAAGCAAAAGGTTAATATGAAACTGTCGTATGCGGTCTTGTGGTTACAAAATAAGGGTACAGCTTTCTGCTTGATGCTGTTGCACAGGGTTATGATTACATTTTATAGGTAGAGCAGAGGAGAAGAGGCTGTCCTTAGAGAAATTACTATCCTCTTGGCTCCTTATATGGGACACAGAACTGATAGATTTTGCCATCTTCATTAAAAACCTTGTGTAGACCAAATGCTATTTGTTGTTTTAAATTATGATTGCAAATTACTTCTTTTTCTACAGCCGTATTGAGCACTTGAAATCCCAGAATGACTTGTTGACTATAACACTGGAAGAGTGCAAGAGCAATGCCGAGAGGATGAGCATGCTTGTTGGGAAGTACGAGTCCAATGCCACAGCCCTCAGGCTTGCATTGCAGTACAGGTATGTACCTACGCAGAGGGTGTCTCAGCCAGAAAAAGAGGGAGCTGGGGAGACTTGATAGAAGTCTTTGAGAGTGAAATTGTTCGTGTGCCATAGAAATAGTGTTTCTTTTTTGTTTCCTCCCTGAAAAAATGCCCCTTTGGTTAAACTACTTGACAAACTACAGATCTGAAGTTTTATTTCAACCCTAGTTCCACCAGCAGTAGTGAACTCGATCTAATAGAAATATAAAGTTTTATCTTCTCATTTTTAAATAGTGAATTAACATTTACATTAGGGATTGTGTGTAGGCTTAGGGATTGTGTCTCTGCTGCTTCTGGTCTTGAGATACAGGTTCTTAGTATTAGGCTGGCACCTTTCACAAGACCAGTGGACGGAAGAGTAGTATTGTACTCCACATAATTCAGAGTCACTTTATATTACTTCAGTTGGAATTGTGGATGAATTGCTTGGGATTTAGTTATAAGTATCTAAATTTGCTTTAAACTGTATGTAAAAAGATGGTGGTGTTTAACTCCTTCAACTGCAACTAATTTGGAACAGGTGGTTCTGGTCTTAAGGCAGATTGTGTGCCTTTTAAAGAATGTATTCTGTTACTATCACCCTTGAGCGAATTACAAGGAAATGTAAATTGCAAATAGCTATATTAATATGTGTATTTTCAAAAACATTAGAATGCAACAGAAATGAATGACTCACAACTATATTTAGAAGCTGTTGTGTCGTAAGGAGGAAAATCTTAAAGCCAGGACAGGGCAACAAGTATTTTTCTTGTCTTTTCTTCTTACTATACTTTGTATAGTATAGTTATATAGAAGAGTATAGAGTACTGTATTTTGTATAATAAGAAGGCCTGAGAAAAGTTTCTCAAAGCGATCATGTCAACCATCATTTGTATTGTTGACTGTTTCAAACATACTTCTGGAGCTCACTTCACATCAGGTCATTCTCGTCTATTTTAACTTGTTATATTACTTGAGACCAGCCTGGGACATCATAAGGAAGGAGAGACTGTTGAGTGCTGTGATAGAAGCTATGTGAGTTATGTCATTTAATATCACTGCTGCTAGATAAGTAGTAGGAAATCACCCAGTTCATCAGCTACTTCTTTTTTGAGTTGCTGTTGCAGGTATTCTTCCCCTCTAAATTGCAGATATATTTTGTGTGATTTTTGTTTTCTGTGGTTTGTTTTCTCTTTCAGTGAACAGTGTATAGAAGCATATGAGCTGCTGTTGGCACTGGCAGAAAGTGAGCAGAGTCTCATTCTTGGGCAGTTCAGAGCTGCAGGTGTTGGTTCTGTTGGTAAGATGTCAATAAATCACTTTATTTAAATATTTTTTTTTGCATGTCAGTCAGCATTACAGTTAGTTTTAAGGGTGAATCATCTCATGACCTATCACTTAAGAATGCTCTCTGGTCTTTTCTTGTTTTTAACTCATTAAATCATTTTACACACCCAAAAACTAGGGGAAAAGGAGAGATTTGAATTAAATAATAAAATTCACCAGCACTTTAAATTAATGTATGTATATTATCACAATATGCCTATTCTGGCAGTGGTGAAGCTGCTACAGGCATGCAACTGTACAGAGTGGAATTATTAAATAATACTTATGAGCATATGTGGCTTAGGGCCATACAGCTGTGGTAACTGCAAGTACAGGTTTTGTTTGAACCAGCAACATTGATCCCCCCAGAAGTTGAGTATAGTCTACGAAAAACTGTGCTTAAGACAATACAAAGGTAGAACTGAGTAGTTACCAAAAAAACCCCCCAAAAATGGCTTTAGTTTTTCACCCCATGTTTTACCTTTGCTCTGAAATTTTAAAACATTCTATCTTATGTTTTACTGCGTGGTCAGGTTTATTAGCCTATATGTTCTGTTTTTTTCTTATTTTGTGGATAAGTTTATATTGTGGCTAGGTGGTGTTGGTTTTTAACATGCTGCTCACAAAGTAATGGAATGAACCACTATCACAGGTGCAGTTCAGAAGTGATTTTTCCAGACTCTGCTCATTCCTTTCCACAATGTGCTAAGGAGCTTTCCCTGCTGGCAGAGATCAGTGGCCAGCAAAAGTTAATTTAGTCTTGGATTGTCTATTCACATAGGTGGCAGAAAGAAGTCTTAGATGGGAGAAATATTTTGGATTTGAGTAGGGTTTCATCTCACATGGATTTCATGAAAGACAGTGTAGTTTAGTTTTTATATAGGTGTGTGTCTAGAGCTCTTAATTATGGTATTAGCAGTTATAGCCCTGTGATAGACATAGTGCCAATTTCCCATTACATAACACAGCTTGGAGGAAGTTGTGTTTGGTTTATGTGCCTTTACTTCACCGTGAACTTTGATCAAAACACTTAGATAAAACAGTAGGTTTTTGGTTTGAAGATCAGTCAAGTTTTATATCAACATCTGTGAGTGGAAAATTCATGGGAGTTGCTTCTGCATCACTCAGAGCTGAGCGTATCCAGCTGCTCTTAACAGAACATTCTCCCTTCCTTTCTTCCGCATTAATGTTATTTCTAGTGCATGCACTTCACTTAGTGAGTGTGAAGAACAGGTAATTGGTCTTTGACTCAAATATGGATGAAATGTGAATTTGACATAGAGCAAACTGGGTTTTTGCATTGTATTTGTTAAAGTATGATTATATTGTAGGTTTGTTCAGACTTTCAGTGTAGCCCCTAATTTGTCTTTAATGACTTGACTCCAGCTGGAGTTAGGACTTTACAGTGGTGATTTGTGTCCTGCCTCTGCTGAAGGGATGGCTTACCAGCTCCATAGGTGACTGCATAATCACTAGAAATTATAGAAAATTAATAAACACCAGTGCTAGTTTTCTTTTGGTTTAGTATGCATGACTGTAAACTCTGAAAGGCTGCTTCTAAGCAGTAAGGCAATTTTCCCAGCTGGAAAGGTAACCTGTAAGAAGGTGGTCTGACAAACCATTAGGCTTGAAATAAAAATGCTTGTGAGAAAAAGCACTGGAAATGACCACACTGTGAAACGGCACTGAACTGATTGGAGTAAGAGTTGTAATTTAGGCTGAGGCTTTTCCAGTGTATCATTAATTTGAGCATCCTATCCTAACGCACAGTGCACACCCTTACAAACAGACAAACTAGCTAAGATAAAGCATCACTTAAGACACGTACCTGGAACAACAAGTACCTGGAGCTCATGGATGGGAGGGAGATGCATTCAGGCCAGTAGCCCAGTTACCACTGATGCTCATCCGGAAGTGAAGTTGCTTTTACATCACAGATTAGTCATTCATTGCCATTGTCTTGGTATAGACTGAGAGGTATAGAAGCTTCTCTACTCTTGCCTTAATTTCTATCGCTCTCCTCAAAGCTCTGACATAGATTGTTTGCTTGAAACCTAGGGGACCAGACAGGTGATGAAAACATCACCCAGATGCTTAAGAGAGCTCACGACTGCAGGAAGACAGCTGAGAATGCAGCAAAAGCCTTGCTGATGAAACTAGATGGGAGCTGCGGGGGAGCCTATGCAATCACTGGCTGTAGCGTGCAGCCCTGGGAAAGCCTGTCATCCAACAGCCACACAAGGTAACTGCAACTCATCTGCTCTCCTAATTCCTAATTCTCCTAAGTGTTTGATTTCAGACCGAAAGCTATGTTGCGTTGTGTTTGCTGAACTATCTCCCTCACCTCAGTCCAGTGGCTTCTGTGCTTTGATTTATAAGTCACCATGCCTCAGTGATCAAATTGTCTTTAGACTTTCAGCAACTCCAGCCAAGAAGGGTTTTGTATAAATTTGTTGCAAATGGGTGACTCTGAACTTTGATCTTCCTCATAAAGGGCAAAACCATTACATTTGTTTTAGTTCGGTGACTTTCTTGGTGTTTTATTGGAACTCAAATCATGTATTTCTTATTCATATCTGCTGTATGCAGACAGCACAGATGTATGGAGAACCAGAGTATGCTTCCATGGGCCTTTTGGAGTGCTCAAGAATTGTTTTCTAAATGTTGCAAATCCAGCCATTTTCTTCTAAACCATTTCCTCTCCCTTCTCATTCCCCTTTGCCCCTCTCCAAATTCTTTCTTCCACATGTGGAGTGGCAAATTAGCATAATGACAGACAGAGTGGCTTCTTCCAGAAAAGGCTGGATATTGCAGATTTTCTAAAGACCTATGAAATAATGAAACTTGAATGAGCTATTATTGCAGAAGTGTTCCAGTTCAAGTACATCTGCTAGCAGCTTCATTTTGAGTTGTTGCCTGCCTGCAGTGTAATTGTACTCTGTGCAGTGAATATGTGTGCTTGTGTATGGATACGAATTTGGCAAGCATCCTGGACAAATATAGATGAACATTTTTCCTTTTAAAAGTTATTTTTGGTTTCTCAGATTCACTCTAAAACTTCATTTCAATTCAGGTTTTGAGCCAGTTCTTTATTCAAATGCTGTCATTTTTTGATGCTTTAAAAAGTTTATTTTAGTACTGTATCATTTCCTCTTCTTGCTGATGTCTCCTCCAAAGGATCTTATTTCCTGCCATGTGACTAGCATGGAATAGCTAAAAAAGTGAGCTAAAAGGTAACCTGAGGGGACAGAGTCCAAATGTGAGGTACATTTTAACATTTTATTCAAAGAAGCTTTATAGTGCACTTTCAGTCCAAGAAAGCTGTATCTTTATTCAGAAATTGATCGCTTATTGTACCAAAAGCATTTACCAGCCTTGGAAGGAAGTTATACAAGGCTGTTTCAAATACTTGACTTGCCTCAGTCTGCATGCACTTAGGCCATACCTACACCTGCCTGTGAACATGTTCTAAGTGGCCACACGTAGCAACACCTCTAGCTAGGCTGAGCTCGTTTTCCATTCTGTCATTTGAAAGGGTCATTTTTGGTTGTTCATAACTACCTTCAGTGTTTTTCTTCCTTGTGAGATATCTGGTATGTAGTCACAGCATATTTTTTTTTCCTTGAAAACAATTTAGATAGCTTTCACTATTGACAAGGGGGAAATTGGCAGGGGTGGACGGGGTGCTGTTCCTGTTTTAGTGTTTGCTCTCCTAGCCTTTCACTGAAAGTGTTTGGTAGGAACGTAATCTGTATAGTCCTTGCTTTGTTGAACGTGGGTTTTGGGATTTTTAAGGGGGAGGATAAGGCAGGAAGGTGTGTGTGTTTGGGGAGGAAAATCATCCCTCGTGCTCATTGTTTACCATGAGCTTTTTGGTGGTCAGCTGGCAATGTGTGTATGTATGCGTAGCATGTTGGCTGAGTAAATAAAGATTTAGCAGGGTATGATTAAAATGGCATAGGATTTCAAATTTCATCAGTATAAACTGTGTCATGAAATGTAAAAATGCAAACGTAAATGCTTCTGTGTGCAAGAGGGATGTTTTAGCTTGAGTCATTATCATTGTAAAATAATTTTTTCTGGCGTAGAGCAAGATAGTGTACTGAATAAGGTAACTATTATTAGCTGCTTTGATATACATGGAACATAAGAGAGAAAAGCTTCTCTCACTCACCCAAAGGACACGCACCAAGCCAGGAACTTGTTGTATGGGTGTCCTGATCTGATCATCACTTATGTATTGTCATCCCTCTCCCCTCCCCCATGCCCAATGTAATTTGTCTTTGTCTAAACAGACATATCAGTGAAAATATTTCTGAAACTTTAGCCTTTTCATGAAATACAAATCTTCTCTTCTTTACTTCTGTTGTGCTCAAGTGATAGGAGGTAGAGGTGTTTTCAGATTTCTCCTTTCTGTGGACCCTGTCTCAAAATAGAGGCATACCCTCTTCAGCTTATAGACACATGACAGTGCCAGCCCATGGATGGAAAACCTGTGATGGTTCAAAAGGCACACCCTTTTCTGTATTTATATCAGTAAATGTTCTATCTCAGGTTTAAAAAAAAATGAAGATTTTTGTCTTTAACTCTCCTGTCCCTAGCATTCAGGATCTTTTTTAGTTTCTCTCCAGGACCCTGCTCCTGCCTTCTGGAGTTATCCTGGCTCCTGTGTTGCCAGCTCTCTCAACCGATTCATGCGTGCTCCCTTGTCACTTGGCTCCCTGCTGCTCTAGACAGACATCCCATTTTCGCAAACCTCCAGCCCTCTGTGATTCTTTGATGTTGATGGTTTCTATTTCCTTTCCTTTTCCACTACAATAGCAATCCAAGCAGAGATAGGAAAGCAGACTGCAGATTTCTTGCTATTCCTGCAGGCTTAATGTTTTTTATTTGTCTTAAAGAACTTGGCAGTCTATAAAACTGGGGAGTAGAACAAGCCCACATCACTAGTGAGTGCTGTGTGAACCACCATTTGGGGACCACTGCACTAAAATGAAAACATTTTTATATGATATGGTTCAAACATACTCTGAATCTGCAAGACTGATCTTTTGCCATAGCTGTTTTAGTGTTGCAGGCTTTTAGTTGCAGATATGTATTGCTACCTTTTCCCTTTGAAACCAACTGAGTAAAGAGGTAGTGGGATGATGAAAACTCTCCTTTGCTGAGACTTGTGACAAATGAGTAATTCTCCCTGCTGTTCGAAATCCTGTGGAATAGGGATTTATAACGGAATTGTTGACCCATCTTTAGCTTCAGCATTTCAAATGAGATTCTGAATGTCAAATCACTGAACACATTACTGAGAATAAATGCTTGGTGAGCCACTAGTGACAAGTGGTTAAAGACTGAAAAAGGGAGCAACTGAAATGAAAAGGAATGAAATGCAATGAAAGAACATCACAAAAGTTGTTACTGGTGAACTGAATAAAAATAATAGCAAGCATCTCAACTCATTTGGCTGGCAGCAGCATAATAATGTTGCCATTTCATTTTTTGAAAATAGAAATAGGTCTGCTGTGTAGTTGGAAGTCATAATTATTTTAATGGACAGAAACTAACCATAAAACATATATTGCCAACAAGCTTTGACTGATTGCACTCTAAAAAGGAGGAAATAAAAAAGGAGGACTCCAGATGTAATACTGACTGAAAACAGTGGATTTTACTCCCTGTGGTGATAGTAAGCCCAGCCTTACGTCTGGATTCATGGGGGAAAAGATCTGGTTGGTCTCTTATATGCAAAGGGATTTCTTTTCAGTATTATGCAGTGTCGCAAAATATCTGAACTCACCCAAACATAGGACTGTATCTCTCACAAGATGATCTCGGCTGAAGTGTGCAAATAAGTTATTTACAAATATCCCAACATGTATCTTAAAGTTATCCGTGTAACACTTCATTGCTGGACTGAACTAATCTCAGAAGGATGCGGAGTAGTTTCACCAAAGGTTCTGATTTTAGCCAAATATATTGTTGTTTGTGTTTTGGCTGGTTGGAGTATTTTTCAGTTTCTCAGGAAATTACTATCTCTTGGCATTGTGCCGTTCCAGATCTCAGGCCACAGCATTCACCGAAAAGATGGCTGACCCATGTATACTGTGTATCAAATGCATTCTTTAAAGTGTAAGGTTGCATGCAGACATTCAAGCAAGCTTTGTGGATTCAGTTCTGACAGTGTTATTTTAGTTATATCAACTTTTGTATTATCATCTGCACCATTGCTGAATTGCAGAATTATTTATTGACTCGATTTTTAACAGATGAACTGAAGCTTAAACAGGGTTTTGTGGACAAAATTTTGTAGTGTACAGAAGTTACTCACACAGAAGCACTGTTGGAAGCTTCATTTATATCCATCCACCGCATTTTATACACACATATGTACATGTGAACACAAACACACATGCCAGCAAATAAGACTGCACATTATACTATACCAACCTGCATATTTTCCACAGGCTGTATATGATAATTAACTTGACATCATGCAGGCATGACAACATTGTAAAAGACTTGAGGGATGAAGCGAGTGGGAACAACATTTCTCTTTGCTTGTTCTGAATACAACAGCAGTTAGAATAAACATATTGATGTTGTTTTCCCTCCAGGTGTGATGAAATTGTGATCCTTTCTCTAGGATCTTACCTACATGCTTGAGAAATGAGAAACTGCATGTCTTTTGCAACAGTTTCATGTGTTTTTTGGATGGATGCATTATACTGCATACGCATTTTGTCGATCTGTTTTCCTTTGTCCTGATTGCTGTTAGAAGGGAGAGCAGTATGTGAAGTTCAGGATCATATGCTCACCAGCTGTGGACCCTTCAATAGAGCAGCAGTGGACTAGCATTATGGCTGTGGAGGGCTGTGTGGTGGGGCTTTTGGGGGGGAACACACCCTGGCAGAGCTGTGCTGAGGGAGTTCAGAAACACTGCAGCGTTGTTTCCATCCCTCATCATGCAGCCTCCTTTTTTCAACAGTCCAAAGTGGGCTTTGTACCCTGGTTTTCTGCAACCCATGCTGCTTCCAGTCTTCTGGGTGGGGGCTTGCTGCTAAATGTGGGAGGAGGGGGAAGGTTCTTGTTCCTTTATGTGCTGGCTGAGACACCTTCCTCGCTAAGCTCCCCTTACCTTCTTAAAAAAAAACAAAAAACAAAAAAACCCAAAAAAAAGAAAAAAAAAGAGGAGTAGCAGCTTGCTAGCAATTCAACAGAGGAGCCAACTCAGCTGCACACAGACAGGCAGGCAGGCAGCCAGGACCGAAGTAAACGCAGCATGAGTATCACTGGCAACAACTCAGACTGCCTTCCTCAGTTTGGACTGCTCTCCCCTAAAATATATGTGCATAGCCATGAATCTTTAAGGGCCAAAATCTGTGAATATCCAGTGAGTACGAGGTCCAACACAACATAACAATGGACTTCAGCATTTTTGCTCAGGTTTCATTCCCAGCAGGAGAGCTAGGTTTTCTTTCCTTTGCAAGTGAAAACTGAGATGAGCTCTTTGTGTCCCAAGATTTGAAGCCTGTGTAGGCTTTAAAAGCTGTCCTTCCTCCAACAACAGCTGTTTTACATTTAATCCAGAAAAAAAGCTGTGCAATTGCTGTCTTTGGGTGCTGAGGAAACTTGCAACATGGCTACAGTACAGAATTAAGTATTTCCCACATTGTCTATCCCCATGATTTTTTATATCATTACCTACTTCAGAGAGGTATCTTTAGACTCCATAAAGCAAGATTTATTAAGTGTTTTGAGATTCTCTAATGAAGAACTAAGTAAAAAAGAAAAAAAAATTGGTTTCAACCTGAAAGAGTTTCTGTGTAGTGTAGGTACTAGGTGTTTTTAGCTCCACTGCAGATGGAAATGGATGAAAACAGAAGCAAGGACCGGTTTACGCTTGTGGTAAATATGGCACCTATTATCCCTAAGAAATGGAAGGAATAATGGGCAATTGACAGAGAACTGTAGTAAAGAACTGTAATACGATATTTCGTGAGAGGGAAGGATTTTGAGAAATCTTTGTAGGCCTGCCAATTCTCCATCTTTTCCAAGGCTGTATTTGGAATTTGTGGGAAGATTGGCAATTATTTGAGGCACTTAAAAATCAATGTAGCTTTAGCTGAAGTAGAACCAAAAAACAAGAGAAAAAATCAAGCCTTTCTTGATAGGCTTCCCCTTTTTCACATGCATAATATATTTTAGGACATCATCCTGACTCTCACAGCATGTAGCGGGTGGGGCTTTTTTTCTTCCTACAAAAATGTTGAACAGCAGTGCAATTTGATACAGAAAGTGATTTATTCCCCTGCTGATAACTGAGATCATCTAGCATTCCAGACAAGCACAGTTAATGGATGACTTATCCCTCACCCGGCAGCTGATTACAGGACCTCAGGAGACAACAGGCAGCTTTGAGTGAGGTTATAGAAACAACACGGCATTTTATTTTCCTTTTAATGTTATTGCAACTATATTCAGCCCTGGAATGCTGCGGCTGTATCAGTCTTGGCCCCCTGCAGCAGTGGCATGCCTGTAGGGTGGGTAAGTGGCACTAAGCCACCCTTGCTCTATCTCTGTGTAAACATGAGTGGGGCAGACTAATGGGCAGTCGTTTGTTTGATGCCAGTAAATAGGAGTTCCACCAAATTTGATGGTGACTTTCCATTAAAAGTCCTGCTAACTTATGGGTTGATTTTAAACTCCTCCAGCCCTGAAGAAATGTCAGTGTGCTGAGGAATACATCTTAACATGAATTGAAAGATGCTACCTCCTGACATCACCCAGTGGAATTTACTGAGGTTGTTTCCTACAAGTATCCATTGAAAATACCTGAGATGATAACTGGTATTGCCATCAACAATGAGATAAATGAGATCTGGGCTGATTCTGGTTTTTTTAGCAGATGCTTCTTCCCAAAGAAGATGAAGACTCAGTGGCTGAGCAGCAGAGAGAAGCTTGGCCTGCTAGGGTATTGCTAAAAAATCCTAAGTAGCTTTTTTTTTTTTTTAAATTAAAAAAAATTGTTTCAGAAGACACTATTTAAAAAAAAAAATTCAGTTACATGTACCTAAATATCTGGCTTTCCAGACAAGTTGTCACATGATTCAATTTTCTCATGCAGCTTAAAGAATTAATTTCTTTTCTGAATTTGTCACACCCCTCTACATCTTCTGAACATTGCAACATCCAGTCCATGCTACATGTGTCCTTTCTATGACCTTTTAAGTAAGACTCAGATGTGTTGATGAAGTATTGGGAGAGTGTTTGATGTAAAAATATAGATTTTGTTCCAAATGTGGGTTTTTTTACCATTCTTTTCTCTTTCCAGTACTACCAGCTCAACTGCAAGCAGTTGTGATACAGAATTTACAAAGGAGGATGAGCAGAGGCTGAAGGATTACATCCAGCAGTTGAAAAATGACAGAGCAGCAGTGAAACTGACAATGCTGGAGCTGGAAAGCATCCACATTGATCCCCTCAGTTACGATGTTAAACCTCGTGGAGACAGCCAGAGGCTAGACCTGGAAAATGCGGTCTTGATGCAGGAACTTATGGCAATGAAGGTATTTTATTTATGTACAACAGTCTAACTGCACTGCTGACAATGCCCCTGTGCTTGGTCACACGCATGGGAGGCTTTGATAGTGATCACTGGGTAATAAAGGATAACTTTGTTGAAACAAATAATCAGGGCTGAAAATCCAGTAGTCAGAAAGTGACAGAAGGCAGTGCATTAACAGTGATGAGCTACGTGTGTTTTGAATTAGGCAATGACTTCATCCGTGGCTCTAAACTTGGAATGCTCTCCTTAACAAACCAGATGCTCTCTCTAAGAGATATGGCAGCTGAGTTGCTTGAGGGTGACCAAAAGCATGATACAGCACTTCCCAAGAGACAGTTCATTACTTTACTTGCAAGCTTGCAAATGTGCATCTTTGAATATTTGTGAACTGAAGCAGAACAAATTCCCCTCCTTTTAATATTGCCATAGGAGGAGGAATGGTCTGTCAGAAGTTATCATGCCTAACGCTCTCCAGCAGTTGGTCACAAGTCCAGAGCTGTTCTAGGCACTGTGTTGCAATCTCTAGCTCCGTTCAGAGCCCAAGCACAAAGTGCAGTGTATAATGACTTGCAGTAACAGAGGGTTTTGGAGAAAACTCTGGTCCCTCAGGCCTGGTTTATACATCCAGTTTTAAAGATGTGATCTAGAAAGACTGACCTTTATTGACCAGGTATAGAGCTTATATAATTTTAAATCTGGCTTTTGTATTGACTTTGAGAGAGGTGAACTAAAATATAGGAACATATTAAAGGCAATACAAGTGCATGTCTGCATTTAGAAATCATCTGAGTTTGGTTCAGTTTAAATAAGTTCAATTTCTGCATGTTAGCAAGTCCTATTATAGTCAACTAATAGCAGATATGTCAGATGATGGTACCATGTGGGACAGCAAATTACAATAGTTTGGTAAGCTTCTAAAGCTTACCAAAGCTTACCAGATTTTTGTTCAGATGTGCTACTGGTAGCTTAGTAATGATAATTATGTTCTTAATGGTGCTGCCTTTCCATGATGGCAAATATAATTTTGCAATAATGCATTCAATATTTTCAGTTCAGAAAAAAAAAAGATTGCCTTCTACCAGTCAGAAGATTTAAAGTTATCTTAGTTGTTTGAATTTATTGTGGCCAACAGCAATATATTCCCCATAATTAAAGCATGCAAGATGTACTGGAAGACATTTGTGGATAATTAGATGTATATTTCAGATATCATACTTCCTTCTCCTCTTTTGCATCCAGATCTTCCCTGAAATCTCTTGTACACCATTCTTACTTCTGTCTTTAAATTGATTGGTAAAGGCAAACTGCAGAGCTGTCCCTTGTGATTACTGCCCTTGCATTCCCTGACCTGGCAGGAACACCGGCAGTTGCATGTCATAATTTCTAGCACAGTTTTGAGTGCTGGTAATCCTTTTGTCCACTAAATAATCATCTAACTATTTCTTGACATATGGTGTCCGCTCATAACTTCCGGCTGGACCTAGCACATTGGGTTTTCACTGCAGGAATTGTCCGTAGAAGAAGAAATCTTTCTTCTTGGTTGGTTTGTGTGCAGTGCACACTGGAATAGACACATGTTTTACATAAATGGCTGAAGTCACCTTCAGTCCTTCCTGGTATAGAGAAACTGACAGTACTGTTATCCGTTATAATTTGTTGTACTTTACTGGAATTCACAACTGCAGGAAATCCCTAGGTTTGTGAAAGGGATATGGTGAAAACTCAAGTTTGTCAAAGCTTGCAATGGATGTGTTGGTAAGTACTCTCCTGTTACAGAAATCGAAAAGTCCTGCCTTTTTTTTATGCATAAAGCATTACAAAAGGCACAGCTACAGTCTGCGTGCTTTGGTCCAAAGAGAATGTGCTACCTTATTAGCATCCGTAGTTGTTGCTCAAGTCTACGTTATGCCTTGCTCATATATTCAGCCAGCTATAACATAGCTGAACCTAAGGGCAGGACTCATGGATGTCTTGGCTTTCTGTGTGTATTGTTTTTATCTATTATTTGGAACATGTACCTTATACAGAATAGTGTATGCATCTGTCCTCTGAGACAACTGACGAATTTAAACTTCCTTACAGTATTTTATTTGACTTGAAGCAGATGGACTAATCTGTGCTGCAGAGGACTTCATTATGTAGCAGCTCTTAATTTGTTCCCTCCTTTCCACATTCTTAGCGAGGATGATACAGCTTGATTGAGCTACTCAGCATTGCTAGGTCTTATGACCCGCTGCTGTCTTCCTGAAACTTTTATCTGTGTTGGAATCTCTGCTGCATCTTTTAGCACTCTTCATTTTTTATGACTCCCAGTAAAAACTGATTCACCACATCAGTCATATGGCTTCTTGCATCTATGTGTTATGCTGATAATGTTCTGAAAATCCCTTCGCACCATTAGTTCTTCATTATTGATGAAAATGATCCATAAAAAGAAGGAATGGGAAAGGTTTCTTTGTTGCCTTGTTTTTTTTTTTTTTAATGATCCACATGTAAGATGTAGTGGTCCACCAGTACTTCTGTAAAATCCAATTCTTTGCTTAAAGCAATAATTAACCATGTTTCCAAATGTATTCCCATCTGTGGTTTGTCATCATTCAGTGGTCTTGCTTTGAGGTCAGTTGTTGTCATGCCCCAGTTAGCAAGGAGATTACTTCTGATGGGTGTAAATAATTCTTGGTTTACAGCGCTTCTGCATTTCAAAGCACTTAATCTAGATAAGAGGTCTCAGGTTTCTACACTGACAAATCTTCCTCTTTTGTGTACAGGTGGTGATAATACTGGTCATAAGGTGCTTTGACACTACAATCTCTTTTTGGAAAATGTTAAGAATCCTGTTGTCCACCTTTGTTACAGCATTTCATGCTCTTATAGGTGTATATAGTAAAATACAGTTAACTAGAGCATGGCATTTATCTGCTCTGATACTTGTTTTACTTCTGAAGGCTGGTATATTCCACCATGTGTATTGTGATCCTCCTGAAGTCCCTTTTCATCACTATTAGAACTTTTTGCCACATCAGCGTCCTTGCTGGTTTATTCTTCTGACGTGACCACATCCAACACAAATTTTGATTTTGAGGATGTTGTGCTGTTTCTGATTATATTGAGTCAGAAGTGTTTAATTTTCATTCAAGTTTTTGCCCAAATTCAGAATTACAATATGACAGCAAGTACAAAATATTGCTTAATATTCAATTAATTAGTCCTGAAATGACTGCTAGATTTGGTGCTTGAAGCTTGTGAATTTCCGTGGGTTGTATAGGTCTTATGCAATCAACTGAAAGAGTGACCAGATGCTACCTCCTCCTTCAGGGTTTCATTTTGTAAATGCCATTTGTGCTTTAGGCCCACACTCTGAAGAAGCAGATATGTTAAACTGCAAAATGTTTCACCAGCATCCTTTAATTAGAAAAAAAGGGAATAATAAATATACAAAGGTGATGTTGTCATTTAAATGAAGTTTAGATGCTGTCTTTAGAAAACATATTTTCATAGAAAAATTACTGCATGTGTAAAGACCAATTAATTAACTCTCTTAAGTACACCTGAAGCTACTTAAATTCTCCCACATGAAACACTACTGTCACCACCCTGCCTCACAGGTTGTATGTGTCCATACCGGAGTCCTCACTTGTAGTTTTAATTTTTAACTTTAACCTTTCCATTCCTTCCTGTGCCTTCCCTGGGAGTCTCTGTAAGACACTGGCTGACAGTTCTTCCACTTTTCCCCAGCTTTGTCTTTGCTTCTCTACTTCAAAGTCACATTGTCTTGACATGAGAAAACTAACGTATGGGGGGGTGCTTTTGGAGTCCATGATATGTCTTCTGGGACAGGATGCAGACTTGTGAATTTATATATGATGATCTAAGCTTACTGTCTTCATAAACAAAGGAGTTAACCATTGATCCTCAAATTTCTTTTGAGCTATGATATGTAATACAAACTAAGTTTGTACATTTAAGTTAAAACTTTTAAGTGATGGGAAAAATTAGTTCCACAGATTCATTGTTGTTAAATTCACCTTTTCCTTTTAGGAAGTAAGTGTCCCTTATTTCTATGCTGAATTTGCCTGGCTTCAACTTCCAGCCTGGGAAGATCTTGTCATGACTCTCCTACATAGATAGCCCTCTGTCAAGAGTATCCTCAGTTCACATAAGTGCCAAAATACGCTGCTCAAATTACTTCTCAGCCTTCACTAAGCAGGCTAAGTAGATTAATGGCTTTAGAAATAGAGGCTTAAGAAGCTAAATGCATACACTTAAGAATACCAGACTATCCAGTTCAACTCCTGTAACTAAATTTCCCTATCATTATTTAGCAATATTGTTTACATTTTTACTGTTGACAAAGGAAATTAATAAGTTTGCCTAACAACTAAATTTCTGTAAACCACATTGAATGAAGCTGATATTGTACTTCGAACCTTCAGTTCACAATGAAGTAGATGAATAAATGAATGATTTTAAAGCTCATGCAAACCTTTCCAAGCCTGAGGGTTTTCAGAATATGGATTTTATTTTTGCATGGTTGATGGTTCTGAATAAGCCAATGATTACCTATGATTACTATATGCTGGTTGTAACTGTGCTACACCTCTGTGCAGTGTTTGCAGTTAATCCAGAAAGCAAATTTTTGGTAGGACTGTAGAGTCTCTTCTACAGAAAAAGTTAGTGTAAATATGTGCCAAGATTTGTGTTTGTATTATATCCATTTTTAACAAAAATTACACAGAGAGCATTATTTTTGAAGGATAAGGTAAGACACCTCTGATATTTTTGTGACTAGAATATGGTTTTTTGTTTAAAAAAATAATTTAAAAAGTTATTTCTTCCTAGACTGGCCACACAACAAGAAACTTCTGTCTTTCAGAGATGTTTACACAGTGAACAAGTCTAGAACTGAACTGTAACACAGAAAATGGCTGCATGAACTCAGTATTCACCTGTGAGGTGACCTAGGGCATGGCAAGCTCAACAGTGAGAACATGAATCTGGGTTGGGGTTTCTTTGTTTTGACAGTCTTTTGTTTGTTTGATGGTGTTTTTTTAAAACATAATGTAAATTATGTTTTAGGACTATTTCTTCAAATGTTTTGTGGACGTTGGGTTTTCCTGGGTTCAGAATATAACTAGACATTTCATGGAATAAACTTTTCTGAAGTGTTCTTAAACTCCAAGAGCCTTCTGGTCTGTGCTCAAATAGCTGCTGTTGTGTTACAATACTTGACAGCTCTGTCATAAATACCAGAGTGGCAGAAGAATTACACACCAGAACTAGCTCTCAGAATTGAGCTTCTTTCTATGAAGTACCAATATCCATCTTCTGTGGATCATATTTATGGAAGAATAGAGGCGAGCACAATTTTGTCATCCTCCAGCTGTATATAGTTGGGATCCTGGTTATCTAGAGGAGGGAAATTAAAAATTGGCATCCGATGGTGCCATACCCAGTTACTCTTTTTGACTAACTCAACTTCTTCTGCCACAGAGGCTGGTATTATGAGGCAGGAATATGTGATCTGTATTTGCTGTCCTAATCCCTCAAACCTATTCCACTGTAATGAAATAAACCAATTCTAATTCTTATGTATCTTATGTATCACTAAGAAACTGGAATCTGGCATTTAGGGAGCTGTGTAGCAAGAAAGTCAGACAGTCCTGGTTTTAGGGCAACAGTCTCTGAAGGGCAAGGTAGAACCAAAGAAATTTCAGCAGCAGTGGCAACCCTCTCAGATCTGTGATACTCTAGTTTCAGCACTGCATTAGCTGCTATGTTGCCTTTGAGGTTATTTCTGAGGCTAATTAAGGGATGGCATAGCTTGTCATGCTCAGTCTCAAGATAGACTGGTCTTTTGACAAATACACGATTATAAAAAGCTTTCTGGATGCTGATAGTGTTCTCCATGCAAAAAAAACGATGAAGTAATTAGAGTGGGTGAAAACTTTGCTTAACCTCATCTTCCTTTAGGGATGTAGTCCCATGAAGCAGCATGCTGATAATATTTCTTCAACAGGAGGAGATGGCAGAGCTCAAGGCACAGCTTTACCTGCTAGAGAAGGAGAAGAAGGCATTGGAACTGAAGCTGAGCACTCGAGAGGCCCAGGAGCAGGCCTACCTCGTCCATATTGAGCACTTGAAGTCTGAAGTGGAAGAGCAAAAAGAGCAGAGAATGAGGTCTCTCAGCTCAACCAGCAGTGGAAGCAAAGACAAATTGAGCAAGGTCAGGAGTCAAACAAGTTTCCAAAATCAGCATAAACACAATTTATTGTACTCCTCTGTATAGCAGTCTTTAGCATGTTCATCATTCTCCTCTTTTGTCTATATGTACCTCCTTTCTCTCTTCTCCAGTTGTCAGGTGGTTCTTTCCATTCTGTGACTTTGAGGACTTTGCAGAATTACTGTTAAGCCTGGGCTATAATAACGTCATTTTGGGGAGGAGCACAACAAAGCCATTCTTGTCAAACATGCAAGCTACTGTGGTTGAACATGTTGTGCCTTGCCTGTTGCCACTCACTGGAAACAGTAGAAGTCTAAGCAAAATGCCATCCTGCCCCTACTCCAAACGCAAAATGTGAAACAATAGATCGCATATCTATGAAGCAGTTAGAGCATTGTAATGATAGTTGTCTTTGCTTCAAATGTGGTGTCAAAAGTAATATAAGGCACCAGCAGTTATGCACAGTATAGCAGAATTCTGCAAATCAGTGAGCTGTGGTGGTTAAGGAAACATTTAGAAGCATTTGTGAAGTGTTAATCCATTAGTCCATTCTTGGTATGTTGATAGACTGCCATGTTGTGAAATTGTGATGTTTATTTCACCTCCATTTTAAAAATAGCTGTGAACCAAGAGGTTTTCAGAGTTTTCCCATTAAGATGGTAAGTGACTTCAAATTAATGGCCTTTCCTCATTTCTTAGGAATGCAGTGATGGCACCGCAACACAGTTAACACTAGCTGAGCTGAGACCGTACAATGAGAGTGAACTGACTGCTGAACTGACAAATGCGCTCAGGCGGTAAGCAGCTTCCTTTACCAGAGACATGACTTGTGCTGTAGGTCCAAGGCGAGGTTTAGTTCCTGGCCTTTGCTCTTACCCTCAAGTGATTTAAGAGTGACTGGAGATTTTTCCTGTGAGAAGGAAAAAGATCGAGGTTCTTCTAACCTTCCTCTCTCTTTTGCTGTTCTCCAGCTGGTGAAAGTCCTCACATGGTGCTCAGCTCCATTCTCCTTGAGATTAACTGTATCCCTAAGAAACCCTCAAAATGTCAGGAATGTCCATATTAGGCAAGAATGAGATACAAAACAGTGACATGACTTGCTTGAGAGCATGCAGAAAACCTTTAGGGACGACAGGATTTGAAGTGTGATCTTTGGTTAAGAAGGTTGGTCTCAGATCAGAACTTGGGTAGGAATTACAGGAGTTGGAGTTGCAGTGAATTAGATGACTTAGATGCTGCATTTGCCTCCTGAGTATGTAAGTAGAGCCATGGTTCAATTACGAATGACATTGTTGTGTGAAGCGTTAGCTTTCCAACAAGAGAGAGAAGTGATGTCTTGACAAACTGCTTTTATCAACAGCCAGGTTTTAAGCCAAAGCTTTCAGTACAGTTATATATTAACTAGATATTTGTTTGTGCAGCAGTTTTCACTGCACCAGCTATGTGGTAAACTTCATGACAAAGATATTCACTGTTTTGATAGTTGTTCCACCTTTTCTAAAACATGGCAATCTAATCTCTAATCTGGTTATTGTATTTAGAACCTCTCCAAAATGCTACTAAGAATTTTGGCTGGGAAGAGCATGTTTTGCTTTTCTGGTGTTTGTGCCCTCTTTAACAGTGGAATGTCCTCTTGGGCACCTGTGGTGATTCATTCCTGAAGTGTTTTTTTTCATAGGTGCAACTTGTAGTATGCCTAGGGACACTTAAGCCTGAAAGGCATTATGTAAAAATGTTAAGATCATTACCACTGCAGAATCAATACCATTTGCTTAATAGTCTGGCACTTGCTGAGTATTTAGTTTGCTTGATGCAGGAAACAAAATTCTGTGGTTAAAATAATCATTTGTCAGTAATCATAACTGTCATTTATTTGTGGGTGGATAAAATCCATCAACAAAGTTATTTGCATCAACATCGTACCCCCCACACTCCAGTCCTGGTGTGAGCAGCTCTGTTGGCATTTTCTGTCTTCACTCAAGCTACAGCTTTTTCCTGTTCTTGTTATTTGCTCCTGGATTTTGAGAAGATGCCAGTGACCTTAGTTAGCAGAGGCTTGAGTGTAGTCATGAAATGTGGTTTGCTGACAACACAGAGAAAAAACTTTGCTTTATCTACTAGGCTTTAAGTTGATTAGCATGGATTTCCAGCCAGGGGCCTAGCAAATACAGTTTGTCAGGCAGAAATGGGGAAGAAAAGTAATCGGATTAGACTGTACATAAATTTTGGAGTGAAGACTCTCTGTGTAATGGAAATATGACTGTACTCACTGTGATTGCTACTGCCAGTGGGGCTCAAGCACAGGTCCTGCGAGCTGTGTGGACAGGGTATTTTTCTCCCTAATCAGTATACCAGCCAAATCAATCTGGATGTGTAGTCTCCTTATCCTGAAGTCTTCTTTCTGAAAGTTGGTAGACACGTCTAGCACATGGAGAAGGCTTACTGCAACCTGAGTAGCCACAGCTATCCTCAAAAATACCAGCAGTTCCTAACTGCCGTCCTGGATAAACGGACCCTCAGATATTGCAATGACATTTGTACCATCATGGATCCACAAAAGAGTTTTAAAAGTAATCAGAGCGCATTTTCCTCTCTGAAAGTGCTGCAACAGTGCAAAATGGTCTGAAGTGACTGTGATATCTTTAGCTACAAAGTGAATTTAACTCTTTGCACTTTGTGTGCTGATCCCTCAACGCTTTTCCCGCTGGTATGGGAGGACAAGTGCTGTCACTGTGTGTGAATCAGGAGAGATCCTGGTGGCTCACCCACCAAAGAAGTAGGACCAGAATTCAAAATAAAAAATACTTTGTCCAGTAACTGTGCTTACTGGGGGGCCAGAAGGGAAATGTGAAACAAGTGAGTATTGCACGCTGAATCTGTGGTCTAGAGGCAGTATTGAAGTGCCGATGTTGAGGAGTATTTAAGTGCTGGTTGCAATTAGTGCACACATCCAGCAATTGGACCTATCTGTTGTTGCTCCAGGCAGTAGACACTGGTGCAGGGTACAGCAGCTTCAGGGATAGGGGCAAAAATTCATTTGCTTTTGAGTCTTTCTTTTTGTCAGAGAATGTGATATCAATCAGCAACCCTGCTTGCTGCCTGCTCCCCATCTTGTCTTCACAGACACGAAAGCCCTGGGAGCTCCCAGCTATGCTGCTTTCCCATTCTGTCCTTCTGTTGCTGCAGAACTGTCAGGTTCTTCTCAGTTAATTGAAATAGAGTAAAACCCAAATAAAACAGCAGGATACAGTTACGGTTTGGATTTTGGTGTGGTTTGGAAGCATTCATGTGTTCATAGTCTGCAAATGGCTTTGCAGCAGAACAGTCTCATCCGCAGAGGTAGCCTATCTTCTCTCTGCGGATGTGGATTTTCTCTTAAATCTGGAATCTAGCAGTGTGTTGTGAAGCTCCCCGAGTTGTCATTGCTAGTGGCAATCAGCAGAAATTCAAAGCAGGAGCAATTCTTCATTTATTGTTTCATAATATATTTGTTCTAGTAGGACTCAGGGTTTCCCGTAGCAGAGTTCAGCATTAAAATCCATCTTATGGGCTTTCCACATAAATCACTTTTCTTTTCCATGACCACTATGCTAACTACTAGAAATGCAAATTATCTGCAAGTTCTGTGTTGTAAAAGTTACATCTAGGTTACCAAATTTCTGGTATTGCAGGCTAAGGCCACTAATTTAGAGATACATCCTCTTCCAGCCAAGCATAAATACTTTCTGCCAGAGTCTTTAGCAATTTTGTTTTCCTCTGTCTCCTTTCTTAATGGAATGTTTCAGTGGACATGAAGCCTCTTGAGTTTTTTCTTGAGCTTGACATATCCACAAATGAGCTTGTTGGAAGGAAATACTTTATTCTTTGGAGGGAAAAAAATGTATCACCAGCAGCCTTATGGCCTGGCACTGACACTTCGATGGTTGTGCCAGAGGCCAGTTTTATGAGAGAGTATCTGACCGAATACCCCAAAATCAGGCACATTGCACAGTCTCTGAGGGAGACCTTAAAATGACACCTTCCTTGCTGATGTGTTGTGCTCGGCTGTGGCAGGGGAAGGGAGCGCTGCAGGTGCCTTGTATGAGTTTATAACTTAGTAGGCACATACCAAGTTATAAATGCATTAGAGATGGCAGGAAGGAGGCAGTGACAAGAATTCCAGATCGACATACTCCTGCATTAGCAGAGTGATAATAATGGTGATACAACTAATCTTTTCTTTTTTCTGCTAAGTTCTTCCATTCTGTGAAAAATGGCCCAGCTGGCAAGACTGAAACTTCTCCCTCTACCCAGGCCTTACTAGAAATGCTTTGATTGTTAAGGGGCATAGGATTGTATTCTGTGTATGTATTTAGAGACTCCGTTAAAAGCATTAAAATATTTGGGCAGGAAGTATCTGACAATACTGGCTACGGGCCATGGCAGACAAAACACTTTGTGACTAGACTGACTGTTGAGACCTCAGCTGGGTCATCAGATGGCACAAAATGATGATCTCTGATGACTGTGCAGGGTTACATGAATTGTGCCGGTCTAGATGTGTTTCAGTATCTCCCTCACAAAAGGGTGACTTGATCTGGCAACAGAGCAAAGAAGCTATATATTTACCATGTCTGATGACTTTTGAACTGAGAGATAACCTAGTAAGTGATTCTACTAATTGGGAAGTTGCCATGGAGGAAGAAAATGGTGGTAATCACTCGGCAAACAGGCAGACAGTTCTGCTGCCTTCTCTTAACAAAAAGTACATTTTGCACAAAGCTATGGTCCTCCCTCTCTGGAAGTGGAAACTGCAGGTATTTGTAGTAGGTCATAGGAAATTCATCCTGTTGCAATAGCTTCCATGTGTCTATTGAATCACAGTAATGTTCTTTGCAGTCTTAAGTCCTTATGCCTGTCCAAAGACTGCAACTCCGTGTTGTGTCAAACTTCTTGTTTTGAGAGAGCAGGCATTTCAACAGAAAGCTGTGTCAAGGCATGGCCGTGACTTATTTCCTGACATTGTCAGCCATCAATAAATCAAGCCATCTTCCTTTATGTTAAACTTCCATAAACTTCATGTGATGGCATCTTAGCTTGGGATGTTTTCAAGGCCCCCCCCTTATTTTCATGACAGCAGGATCTGGGAGTGGGTAAAGCATCTCTGAAATTCAGGCCTATCTTGACCATCAGCAAGGCTAAGTCTTGGAAATGAAAAGAGAAATGCCTAAAATACATCACATTGTAATGATTCAGATTTAAAATGGCTCTTAAGAATTGAATCAGTAAAATCCTCTTTCTGTTTGGTCAAAGTACAGGATGAACATACAGTGGATAAAAGTAGGGCGAGGGAGGTGGGGTTGATCCTCAGGAGCTATTGATGAGTTTCTCTAGTGCATCTGTGGCTGCTTTTAGTCAGTTACATTTGCTTATTTCTGTTCTCCCATTATCACATCCATTAAATGGGGAGATGCACAACTCTGAGACATTTGAAAGCCAGAGACCAGCATGGATTGCAGTCATTGCAAATTTCAGGGATCTCTTGTCTTTTTCATGACTGTGCAGTCTCCTGCTGTGGTTTCCTTTGGGTGCCTGAGGGGTTCAGGAGGCATGGCCTGTCTCTGGAAATCCCCCTGGAGAGGCCCACTGAGAGAAACCTTCTTGCAAGAAGAGAAATGACTCATGGTGATATAAAGGACAGATTCCTCAGAAGTGCCTCGGGTAGCTATTTTTCCTACATACATCACAGATAACCGTCATTTTTCTTTTTCTCTATTTTTGACATGGAATAAGTAGTTCTCCCTACCACTGCGTGGTT